ATGCTTGTGCTTCCAGGCACGGCAGGGCTTGGTCTGGCCACGTGCCGGAGGTTCCCCGCTCAGCGGTGGTGGGGAATATTAATATTTCCTCTGGCTGCCAAGCTGCTTTTTAGCAGGGGACAGATACTATGTAAGGGGAGCCGGCTCCTGGCTTTGTGAACAGCTTCTGCAAGCCAGCCTGGCACCAGCTGGGGTGGGGGCAACATGCCTGACAAAAGAATCCATCCATGTGTATGGGGGGCAGCAGAGGTGGACAGGTTCCGAAGCCATGCCCCAGCTGCTCTGCTTTGGAAGCCTTTGAGGAAGGGGTGTTTTTATGGGCGGGAGAGGTTTAATTCTCACACAGAGTAGTCACACTCTCCCCTGGCCTGTGACACATCGATAACCTTTGATGCCTTTCCTTGTTTCCAGGTCTTGTTTTGAATAGCCTTTCATGCAATAGTTCTTTGTTTTTTTCCAGAAGGATTGCACTGGTACCCGGACCGGATGGGGAAGTGCTGGCATCGTCTGTGGACTGTGTTTAGTGCCTGCACTAGCCCTGGAGACCTCAGTCTGCAGGGACATCTCCTTCAAGAAGGATGAGAACCTCCTGTGGGATCAGCTCCTCTCCTGGCAGCAGGTCTCCAGAGGTGGGTACCCAGCTCCAGAGCACAGGTGGCAGAAGGGCTTGGGGCAGATGGCAACAGGCACAAGAGCATCCCGCGCTTGCAGCTGCTGAGGAGGTTGCTGTGCCGTGCTTAAGCAGAGGAGGTGGAACGTGGCCTGCCATGCTGCTCTTCTGTAAAACACAGAATGGGTTGGGAGGTTTGGGCTCTGAGCACAGCCAGCAGCCTGGCCTGGGCACAGGCCATGGTGGGACAGGGAGGACAGAAGACTTCTGCGACTGACTGTGGCTTTCTGGTTTCTGTCCCCAGGCTACCAGCACTTCATGTCATGGAAACGGCACCGCTCGGCCTGCCAGCCTAGGAGTGCTGGGGGGCAGCAGGTGTTCATTTGCTGTCAAATATTAATTGCTTTGTTTTTGTTGTCATCATTGGAGCATTTATTTCATTTTTTCCAAGCTTTTGGTCCCCTTTCTCCAGGGTCATCCTTTTGAGTCCTTCCCATTTGATGGCATTTGGCAGGAGGGGTTGAGTAACGTGAAAAAATCAACAACAGCTCCTGTTGTCAACTGCAGCATCCCTTCAAGAATCCAGACCTGCCAGCCACGCCCACAAGTGACTTGGAATGGGAAATGGTTTGCAGGGACAAAGTTGTCACCCTGTTGCAAAAGCTGTAAAGAAATCAGAAGCATAAAAATGCCATTTTGGTTCAACCCCAGCCCAAACTCATTATCCTTCCCCCTTTCCTGCAATTGACCAAACCAGCCAGGGAAAATGGCTCAATGTCTCCAAGAGCCCATTTTGAGATGGAAGTTTACAACTTCAGTGTTGGATCAGAGCATCCCAAAGCAGCAGCTGCTCATAGGGATTTGTATATTCAAGGATTAACAGTCCTGTATGATCTGGATTCACACCAGAGCAATCCATTTTCTCTCTGCAATGAACTTTTCCATTTACAAAAGGATGAAAAAAGTGAGTAGAAGCATGCCTCTGAGTAATAAACTCAAACTACTGAGTACTGTCCCCTGTCCTGGATAAGGACTGTTCCCATGGCAGAGCTCAGCAAATGCAAAGGTTTAATCCCGTTATCCAGAGGTTCAAATCATCTCCCTACCTCCTTTCTTTTCCCACCACTCTTGATCTGACCTTCTGCTTTTAAATATCTTTATCTTATCCCTGTTCCCATGGTATCTCAATTCTAATCGCTTTAGACTTCTTAATATTAGAAGAATGAAAAGTCCTACATACAAACCAAATAAGGCCCAATCATTGAACACCCCTTTGGATTACTCCAGGCAGTAGCAAATGGAATCATGCTGTTCAGAACTGAGCCTCTTTGGAAGGTGAATCTAAGGCAGAATGGAGCAGGCACCAGGCATACCATTCAGCTGTGCAGACCTGTCTCATTCCTTAAGGATATGTGCCTGAACATAAAGAATTGCTGTGGTAAGGTGAACAGAGAGCTGTAACGTGCAAAGTGAATCTCCTCCTCAACCTCACTTCTAGGAGCAATCATCATAATTTTGAGCAACCACTGAATCATGGCTTGAACAAGAATAGGAATGAACACCCTCGCTATCATTCCACTCATCTCCAGATCTGCACATCCCACCACCCACGAGCCACTGAAGCCATAATCAAATGCTTCCCTAGGACAAGCAGCTGCCTCAGCATGCTTTGTCTTTTGAAGCAGAACCAGTGTGACAGCAGCAAATTAAACCACCCAACGTCCTGCCCCTACTGACAGCAGCAATTGCAATCTAACTAGTCCCAGTCCTTTTCCATTTCTGATTCACAGAATTATTTAATCCCTAATCACTGCTATCAACAATTACTAAATTCACTGTCACCATTCTTGTCCTAAATCAGTCTACTCAAAATTATTAATCACCATAATCCCTGGCTCAACAGCTCTAGGAGACTGAATTAGACTAAATCAAACACAGGTTTGAAAAATCTTAAGCATTCTCACCTGAGTTGAATAGCCTAATAATAATTATGGCTGTAATAGCCAAACACCCGCTACTATCTTTCTACTTACCCTTCCTTATAACTGCCACAATAGTCCTCACTCTCAACACAAACAGAGTTCAAAAGCTACCAATGTTAATGGCCTAAAGAACAAAAATACTCACATATACAATAAAATCCCAGTATTAATCTTAGGCTTCCTAGCAGACCTTCCCTTGCTACCAGGCTTCCTGTTTAAATGACTTACCTTTGAGAAACTTCCTAAGCACACGATGACCAAAACAGACACAGTCATTGTCATACTCTCACTACTAGGACTGCTTCTCCTCACATAATACTCACCAAACACACTTCCACCACTCCAAACAAAAGCCCTAACAAAACCCTGCCCAACAAAATCCAGAAACCTAAATGATCATATCACTAAAAACTAACAAAAAACGAGGCCTAACAATTGAAACTGCAACTGAGAGTTAAACTTAAATGTAACTCTAGCATTAATCCTAACAACTGTATCTCCATCCCTAAAAATATTTCAACTAACCCACCACTTTAAAGTTAGGTCCAACATTTGCCCTAACCCTAAATGTAACCAAAATGACTGTAAATCTAACTCTACCACCTAATGCTATCCCTATAAGCAGTAACCCTGACCCTAAACTCAAAGCTAACTTTATCCCTCATGACTGTAACCCTAACCTTAAGCTCAAGCCTAACCATAATACAAATCCTTCACCTAAAACTTTAACACTGAGCATAACCCTGACCCTCTCTTTAGCACTTTATTTAGCACTCTATTTGCACCTGACTCTTAAACAAAACCACACACAAAGGGACTGCAAAGGGAAGGTGAAGACTTAAAGAAAGTGCCTCACCAGTACCCTTGGGTCCACAGTCCCTGAAATTTGCAGAATCCTGGGACTAAGGACCACAGAGCTCACTGGGCAGGCAGCCCTGAGTCCCATCAGCATGGGGCTGGACACGGTGCTGGGTGCTCTGTGCCTGGGATTACATACCCAAGTCCTCTGAGCAGGGATCCCTGAAGGATGATTCTGGTGATCTCCTCAGAGTAGCTGGTTAAAATCTTGCCAATCCTTGAGTTTCTTCAGGCAGCAGAACACACTGTTTGTTACATCTTTTGATCCTGGGCTCTTGATCTGCAGGGCAATGCCCACCAAGAGGTGAGTAACAGACTCACAGCTAGAAATTACCTTGTGGGGTATATTGCTCATTCTAAATGGTAAGGCACTAATAATATTCTTGTTGGGAATGCCTCCAGTGGATGGAGGGTAATGTTAATGCATTCCAGTTGTTACTGTTTTTTTCCTTTTCAAAGCTGGTAATGTGGGAAGATGGGTAAATTGGGTGTGTGCCTCAGGGGGATTTGATTTTCAGTGGTAACAGGCAGTGTATTAAATTGTGTTATGTTAATTTTTATATAACACTGTACATTACTGCTTCCTTCACTTATGTTCCTGACATGGCAACCTAGTACAGTGCAAAAATTCATCCTTCCTCCAGTCACTACGTCTCCAAAGGATGGTATTTAGAGAGAAGGTCTTCCATTCAGAGACTAGGGTCTCACCACAGACTGCTTCTGGAATCACTGTGTTGCATTTTAGTTCCAAATTGTTGGAATTTGGTTTTCCCTTCCTCCTGGAGAAATCCACAACTTTCTGAATTAATTCTCTATCTTCTTGATATATCTCTATCTTCTTGAGCTATCAATTTTATAGTTTTAGCAGAGGAGTTGGCAATTTGGTGCAGTTAATTTGCTTTCCCATCTTTCCCAAGGGCTGAGGTGAGCCTGACTGGCCTCATTTCCTGGACTGTCCTTCTTGACAATGGATATATTATCTGCCTTTTCCCAATCACTGGGAGCATCCCCTCAATGGACATGACCTTTCAAGGATGATGAAAAGTGGCCTTGAGGCATCTGCCAGCACTTTCAGTGCTCTCAGATACACAGAGCTGCTGTGGTACAGAATCACAGAATCAGTGTTGTTGGAAGGGACCACAGTGGGTCACCTGGTCCAGCCTCCCTGCTCAAGGAGGGTGGTCCCAGAGCATGTGGCACAGGAATGACAATTGAAGACACCCTTCTTGGTGTCCTTGACTCCTTGGTCAGTGTCAGGTAGGTAGTTTGACTGGGGTAGTACAAAATGTGCTGTCAAACCCTAACACAAGTGTCCTGTGAGCTCAGGGAGGACAGAAACCTCCCACAGAGCAGAAGTGCAAGGTTTGATCACGATTTTCAGTATAAACTGAATAAAATATAAAAAGTGGATGAGGAGTTGGAGACATGAGTCTCCACATAAGCAGCTTAGGCATCTAGGATGTTCTGCTCTGTCCCCAACAACCTGGGAAATTCAGGTTGTTCCTGCAAGGACTGGTCCCACTGGGGAAGACAAGGCTGTCAGGGCACCCCCACCCCCTGAGGGCCCAGAGAAGTGTCACAGAAAACCCACTACCACAAATGGGGAGCAGGGCTGGGACTTCCACCATGACAGACTCTGCAGGACTAGGAGCTACCAGCTGCAGGGAAGTGGAAAAATCAGTCTTCCCTCATGGTCTGTACTGGTAGGTGCTCCCTGTCAAGCATCCCATAAGAAGCCCACATCCACCCCAGTTGATATCCAAGGCCTAAGAGCCCTGTATCTCCAAAACAATCCCCAAATCACCCCTCAAGCCCTGAAAGCAGTCCCACATATGCCTTTTGCTGGGCACCAGATGTTACCATTTCCATCAGCATTCAAGGATCAACAAGCAGCACCTGGTCCCAGAAACACCAGCCCCAGCACTCTGTATGGCCTGGTCCCCTGCCCTCCTTCCCATCCCTCCCCATACCCTCTCACTGTTCCCTGAGCTGCCCAGGCAGGAAAATACAATTTGCAGGGCAGACTGTGTGGCCTGGGTGAGGATTCCAAACCCATGCTAATTTCACAAACAACCTCTGGGCTAAGCACATCCAGGTCACATCCTCATTTGAGGATATCCTGCTCTCCATCCACTCCCCTGTTCCGCACAAACAAGGCTTGTGCTAGAAGAAAACTGTTTATTTTTTTAAACAGAACTTTTTTTCAACCCTTGCTCCTTAGGGTTTTCATATTTTTTTGTAAAGATACATATTATCTGAACAACCTCTGCATATATATATATGTATAGAAAATATATGTGTGTGCATATATTTATAAACTTAAACAATCCTGCAAACTTGTATCACTCATAGTAGCCCTTCCTGCTTCACAACAGAGAACTACAACAAAGGGCAAAAATGCAGCCCCTCTCAACCAGAGGAACCAAACCACATCCATCTGTGGCTAGAGAGTATCCCACCAGCTCCAGCTGGGAGGCTTTGAGTGTAAATGCAGGTTTTTACAGCATTTCTAGACACTGGCCATTGCTAGACAGTGCCATGCTGGGACATGTGCCACCCTCCCCTGTGCCCAGCCCTTGGGGAGAGCACACCAAGGACAAGGTGGCGAGTGGTCCTCACTCTGCAGGTGGGCTGTGACTTTCTAACTCAATTAAATATCTATAGGTAGAACTGGAGAAAAGGGAAAAAGGCAAGGAGATGTCTTTCTAAAGGAGGTGGCCACAGTAACACAGACCAACTGCCCAGAGCATGTTCTTGCACATTCAAGAGTCACTGAGCAAGAAACCTCCCAGAGGAAATGTTTTGTTCCACCTGAGAGCTCCTCCCTGCCTTTGAGGAAAAACATTAACACAAACTGGTTGAGACTAAGTAGAGGCAGAGGTCCAAGGCAGCAGGCTAGGTGACAGAATACTTCTAGTGTTAGCTACGATAGCTATCATCATCATCAAAGTAAGAATCACAATCTGACTCATTATCAATCATAAAGTTGTCTTCATCAAGGTCATCATCGTCATCATAGTCTTCCTGCCACTGTGGATCATACTCCTCATCTTCAACCTCCTTGCCACCTTCATCTGTGTTGGGGGAGTCACACAGGATGATACGCTTTTGCCTGTTGAGGAGGAGAGCGTAAGAGCAGAGCCTCAGCCTCTGCTGTGAGCATCAGCTGCCACCCAGCCCCACAGCACCCTGCTGTCACTGCCTCAGCATCCCCATCCAAAAAAACTCGAGAGAGCAACTTCCATACTGAGTCTGCCCGTGACAGAGCTTTCTTGATCATAGCTGCATACAAGCAGAGGTTTTGCTGCTTTCCCTACACCACTATGTCACTTAAATTGCTACCTCAAACCACAAAACAGGATGCAAGTAATCAGTGTCTGTCACTCTTTTGTATGTCAGTGAGCACAGGAGAAAACTCTGCTCACCTGCTTTTATGCCTGCACTCACTCACCTTCCCCTAAATGCCAAACCATCCACTAAGAAAACTCACCCTGTACATGCAAGGGCTGAAGCAGGCACATTTGCGAGTTTCAGCTTTCTCTGAACAGCATCTTCTGAAGTCTGGAGCCCAACATGGAAATCCTGTTAGCAGGAAAGAACAGAAGAGATAGAATCAGTGTGTAATTTGGGGTGTATTTTGTGCTGCAAACCCCCACCCTGCACACACACAATCCTGAGTCTATCTCCTCAGCTGATCAAGCCCTTTAGTTCGCCCACAATCAAATTAGACCAGAGCAAGACAAGCCACAAACAGCCAGGAGGCCTTCACCTGTGTGGAGTGCCAGAGAATTGCAAAGAGACGCTCCTTGATCTGCCGCACCAACTCCAAACCCACGCGGAAATGCTCTGCTTTCAGGAGCTGAAGGGAAGTGGCCAAGTCCTGGTACTGCAGCAGGGTTTCCTCTGCAATTCAAGGCCAACAAAGTCATGCTGCATCCCACACTTTTGAGCAGAGACTAAGTCCTTGGCTCTGACTGTGAAGCCAGCCATAGCTGCTTAGATCTCCTGTTCATGTGCATTCCTCTTTCAGAACAGAACACGTTGCTCTTTACTGCATCAATCTCCACTGGCAGCCAAACTGCTCCAGTGGACTCCCTCAGAAATGACATCAAAAAGGCAAAAATGGGCTGGGAGAAGTGAGGCCAGCTGAGTGCTGGTGTATGTGCTATTGCCCCACAACAGAGCTGCTGCTCTTTGACTACAGCTGGAAATGCTAGTCACAACTTCAAAGAGGCTGCAGGACTTACCCAGAAGGATCTGCAGAGCATTAGTGAGCAGCTCCAGACTCTCAGTCTGCTGTTCCACAATATCCATGCTCTCAGTGTCCTGGTTATAGTAGCTGTAAACACAGGAGTAGGCCAGCACCTGGAAAAGTACAGATCATGTTGTTATGCACTCTCCTTCAGCTTCAGAGTGGGCAAGAAAGGAGCAGCATCAAACCCTTCCAGACATCATTATTATCAGTGGCCTCTGGCCATAGCCCAGTGACCCACTATGACAAGCAACAGCAGCACCAGACTAACTAGAGCTACTGGCAGGATTGGAAACAAATGTGCAATTATTTTATATTGAAATCTAAAATAACTGATTATTCCCACCTGCAAACCATCACAAGAACACAGACTAAATGCATAACAAGTGTGACAGACCAGCAGGCAGAGTCAAACCCATCAGCACACAGGACTAGGCAATGCTGGGCAGCCCAGGCTGAACAAAAGTGGCAGCGAACTAAGAGAACGGACCCCAAGGGAAGCAGGCATCATGCTATACAGCACAAAGAGCCCACAACAAAGGCATTTCATCAAGTGACAAACTCCAGTTATGAATAAATGACTCCTAAAGCCATATAGGCACCCAGCAGATGAGAATGGGAATGAGATCACTGTTTCCATTTAAAGAAATGGGCCAGAAAATCCAGTAGCAGCAGCAACAAGCAACAGTGGTATGTACCCCAGAAAACTCAGGGGCTACCACACTGAGAAGACAAAATAGTGTCAGGCACCCTTGTCTCACATGCCTCTCTCAAAAGCAAGCCTACCTGCAAAAACCAAGGTGTATATGCAAAGTCAGTACTGCAAAGACAATTCCCACCTCCTGCCAATGTTTCAGGACAGAGCAGGAATTACAGGCCTAAGGTGTCACAGGCTTACTGCACACACACAGTGGCTGCACTACAAATCATTTTTAATGTGGTTATGAGGACATGCAGTAGGTAACTCACTGCTTCCAAAATACCTACAGCTCATGAAATGAAGTTAAGAAAATCGTAACATGAGCATCAAGAGGAACTTCCTGACTGTAACACAGCATTAAGAGAGCTTTCCAAGTACCTTCACTGGGGCATTTCTAATAGGAATGGACCAAACCCAGTGGAAGAAAACCCAAAATGTAGGCTTTGTGTTGATTCCATGGTGTCAGCTTGAGCTGAGCTCCAAATCCTATGACCTGACTGTAAGGAACACTGCAAACAGAGCTCAACTCAGACTCAAAGCATGGAAGGGCTGACATGAGCTGTTCCCCTGTTCTGATGCTACTCCTCCCCTCAAGCTTTCTCTGTCTCCTGTTGTTTGGAGAAGAACAAGGTTGGTGTCTCTTCACTTTAAGAAAGGCATGAAACACACCAACAGAATTAAGTCTAAACCTCAGCAAGACTATATTACCCAGCCTTACCTTTCGTGCCTGTTCTAGCACTTTGCAGGCATCAAGAACAAAGGTCAAGTTCCTAATTTTTGGCATCTCTCTGATGGAAGAAATACTGTTCCTCAGACTTATAGCAAATTCCTGCAATAACCAAAGGAGGGGGGGAAAAAGTCAACATCACTGTTCATCTCCACGAGATTGAAAAACAGCACCTTCCACACAAATAATTGCTAAGCATTCTGAAGTGCCATCCCAAAAAATGCAGGCAGCAGCAAAGCATTTCATGCGTACAACTATGAAATTTCCACTGTGCCATCACTTCAACCTTTTTACAGCACCTCAGCTCTGAGCCTTCAGTCACTATTGTTTCCAACTCCTGCACCACTCTGAGCACCTGGGCACCTCAAATCAGGTGCTCAGTTTCCACAACAAACTGAATAGAAGAAAGCAGCCAAGGAGTACTCCTTAATGCCAGAGCCAGGGCAAAATGATCATCCAGTGATCCCCACCTGGATGTGAAGCCTGCTTCCAAGCAGAGAAGACCCTGACACCACAGGAATTGCCCTGCTCACCAGGGCTGAGCAGCAGCCAGCATCTGCAAAGGAAGGAGGAGGCCTTACCCTTGCATGATGATGAAAGGTGCATCTCTCATTGTAATCCTGGAAACGCTTCTCCTGCCAAGCTGCTTTACTCACCTGAAAGGAAAGGTACGGGAACTTGTAGCAATTTCCCTCAAGTACCAGGGCTACCTGGAAATGCCATATTACTGGCAAATTCACAAAGCCCAGAGTAAAGGGCCCAAGTGGAGATCCTTGCCATCTCTAAGAGGCTACAGGGGCCTCTGAACACAAGCATGAACCAAGGAGATACAGCAAACCACTCACCATAGCAGAGCAGTTGTAATAATCCTTGTGATTCGGCCTCCAGGGCTTGAGGCAGCGCCAGCAGAAGCCATGATTGCACTTGGCACATGTCATACTGCAGAAGGACAGTGGGAATCAGTCCTGACAGCCACCTGCAGACAGCTCCTGACAGTGCTCCCCACAGTGCTACACCACAGCCAGGGACTGTGCCACCCAGTCACAAACACAGTAGCAAGCAAAATTGTGTACTCACTGCAGGCACCCCTCGTTTTTCTCTATCTGAGCCTGGCAGTTTGGGCAGTGCTTTGAAATGAGCTTAGCCAGATGTTTGCTTTGGGCTTCACTTGTCATTCCCTCATAGTATCCATCATCATCTACCCACCGAGACATGTGGCTGCAGCTGGCAGGATAATGGGCCTGAGAGAGAGGAAAAGAATATCAGTCAATCACACAAAAGCAGAAGGGTGCGTGCCAAACCTGAGACATTACAGCCTGTGATCCAGCTCAGCCTCACCTCTGGGAAGTTGCAGTTGAAGCAGGATATCCAGGAGCACTTGGAACAGGCTGCTCCATAACCAAGTCCATCCTTAAGGAGGATCTGATCACAGCCCTGAGGGTTGGTGCACCATGTCAGGTTGGAGCAACACTCAACATAGCGTCTGAGGAGGGCTTTTTCGTACTGTAATGAGAAACCAGGAAGGAGATTTAAGCCTGAGAAGCTGCATGGTTAGGCTTTAAAAGCAGGTCTGGTGCTCTGGGCTATGCATCTCACCAAACAGCTGCTCAGACAAACAAACACAGCACTCAGTCAGTTTACTCTTTCATTCCCCCTGTGTTCATTTTTCTATCCTCCCTGTGTTGTATCTGGAAACTGTTTAATTTCAGAGAATTGCTGAGGTTGGAAGGCATTTCTGGAAATAAAACCTGATCCAACCTCTCCAGCTTAAAGCAGGAGTGTGTATAGCTGGATTTTGAATATACCCAAGCACAGAGACCACAAACCTCTCTGCCAAAACTGGTCCCATATCTCACTACCCTTACTATTGGAAAAAACCAAAACAAACCCAACCTCAACAACCAGATTCCTTACATTTATATATAATTCCAGCATTAGATCTTCATACAATAATCTAGTTATTTTGAGGTCACAATTGGACCAGAGACTTCCACAGATTATTGCAACCCAAAATATTCTATGAATGAGTATGTGTGACTCTGAATCAGACATTAACACTCTAGCCACACCACTTACTGATCGAAAGGAAAACAGAGCATTTCAGTGAAAGCACCATAGCAACTTGCTATTTATGTCAACCTGCAATAATTATTTCTTTTTATAAACAGTCACAGCAAGAGGCTACTAAATCCTGCTTTCAGACAGGTGTGACTATGGGATTTGCAAAGGCAGTAAGGACTAATTGTCCATATATATGCACTAATTCTCCAAACACTTCCTATAAAAAACAAGACAAAAGATACACCTGTCAAACAACAGAGCAGAGGAAGAGAGACTGTTCTGCCCAGCAATTAACAGTCTGTCATGTGACAGCTACAGCTCTGCCATTAGGTGGGGAGGGCATTCAACTCTAAAAACTGAAAGAACAGAAAAAGCAGCTTCTGCTTTAGAACAAGCAGCTTCTGCTGCAGCCTGATGACCATGCCCTAAGGTAAGCAGAGCTCAGAAAGCCTGGTTTAGAGATATCTGTAGACTCACACAGACTTAGAAGATTAAGTCTGATGTAGTAATTCCTGCCAGCTTCACAAAAACCTGAACTGCTCAAAGCCAGAGACTGATGAAGAGAAAGGACATAGAGGTCACTGATGCAGCAGTAAAACAAAATTGCTCACGTTTTTATCTGGCCTTTTTATAATATTGTTATTATTACTATTATTAATTATTATTATTTAATTGCTGCCAGCACACCAGTAGAGGATACTTGTCATGAGCTGCTACCACGGCTCTCATCTAGTCCTGAACTAATGATGTCCCTGAAATGTTGCTTGCTAGAGATATGTTTACAGGAAATACCACTGTGCTTTTTTGTTGATGTTATGCTTTCCAGAACAGCTGGTATTGACCATAATCAGAGACAAGACAAAATCTGGCTGGCCACCATTATCACGCTGCCAGTCTTGGTAACAGGAAGGGGAAAAGCAGTAACAAAATTATCTGATAGTGCTGACCAAAATGTAAGAGAGCTTGGACACCCAGCAACCACCCCTCCTACTTCACCTTGGCTATAACCTCCTCGGAGGACACGATGGAGTAGATGAAGGCAGTGGTCGGCTGAGCACGGCACTCGGATATGGGACAGGTGCAGTTGACAACCATATTCTGCTCAATGCGAGTTGTGAGATATTCCCTCCAACAGGGCTGCCAGGGCACAGGAGGAGACATCAGACCTCAACACGGCTGTGTGACCCCGGTAGGCCTTCCCACCCAGCAGAGGGTGCACAAAACCCCACAGATCATGGGTAAGTACCCCAAAGCACAAAAGTGGGAACAGACAAACTAGGAGTAAAAGATCACACCAAAAAAGTGAGCTGAGAAAAGAGACTGGATAAGCTCTGAAAAATCCCCCAATAACACCTTCAGACAAAGAACAGCTGCTCCAAGTAGACAGCAGCAATTCCCTGTTAAATAGCAGGAACCAAAGGCCCCAGGACCTTCACCTTGCAACAGTAGTGCATGCAGCAAAGGGTTGGTGGCTTCTCAGTGGGACACAGCTGGTTCACACACACTGGGCAGTGCACTCCAGGACTTGGGGGAGGCTGGACATTCTGCACTTGCAGCCCTGAGGAGATGAACAGGGCCTCACGGTTCTCCACATAGCACTGGATCAGGAAATCCACATTCCACCTACAGTGCATGAGGAGGTGCCGAGCAACATCATCCGGTATGCTCAGAGTATCCTGGACCTGCTGTACTGTCTGGTTCATGAGCAGCTTTGCCTCCTCTGGACTGAGTGTGTGCCCCATTGGCACCTGCAGCATTGCCATGAGATATTCTTCCACCCTGTCTGTGCCAGGATTCCGCCTGACATGGAGAAACGTGTCACGTTCACACAGGGTGGAGATGCACCCCCCTCCACACCTGCTGACAGGCACCCCTACCAATGCAGGCTGTCTCTGCTGTCCTCCTCCAGAGATACATGGGCTGGCCTGCACTGGAAAGTCATCTGTGCTTGGCCACCAAGAGGTGCTGTGGCTTCAGCAGAGATGTATTCCAAGACATGAGGCCTCCCCTCCTGGCGCCGGAGATAGCCCTGGTTCAGCAGGTGCAGGATGCAGGACAGCACGTCCACACTGTGGCAGCAGAAGCTCAGGAACTGCACCCCTGGCCCCAACTCGCCCTTCTGACAGGCATCGATCACCTGCAGCAGCAAGGGAGCCCCACTGCAGTGGCTGCAGCCCCCGTGCAGCCCCTGTGCCCTCTCTGCTCCCCTCCCTTACCCTGAACACCAGGTTGTCGATGTGCAGCTGCTTCTCCAGCTTGAGGATGCGGGTGATGAGGCAGCACAGGACGTTCCTCTTCCTTTCCAGGGCGCTCACCTCGGCCCTCTCTGTCCGCAGGTACCTCTGCTGGGGCAGCAGCCTCAGCTGGCGGCCGGAGCTCTGGGCCAGGGCTGCCTGGTTCAGCCGCAGTGCACCTGGAGCCAGCACCCAACCCGGGCTCAGCCAAGCCTCGAGCTGGGCCTGAAGGAGCCCCAGGACACAACGTGTGGCTAGGAGACCCAAGCTGGGCCCCCTATGGCTGCCTCCACCCCT